CACACGTTTTCAATGTATCACTCAGGCTGTTATATAGAGACTCATACTAAGATAGCGGGGTGAGAAGCTGGAACGCTAGTGAGGAAGCTAATGCAGTCCAGGGAGGACATGATGGAGTGTGGGACCAAGTGGTAGCAGTGGATGTGGAATAGAAACTGAATGTATTTTGAGGATAAAATTTTTATCTTCAAAAAACTGCTGATGGATAGGCTATGGGGTATGACAAGAAGAAAGAAACAGGGTGGCTCTGAGATTTTTTGTGTGGACGGTTTGAAGACCAGAGTTGCCATTTGGAGAAGAAAATGAGTATGAAAAGAGGAGATTTGAAGGGAAGCATTAAAATTGAATTTAGACATCATAAGTTTGAAATACCTATTAAATATCCAGATGGAACCATCAAACAACTATCTGGATAAGCAAATTAAGATGTCCAGACTGGGTGTATAAACTTGGAAGTCACTGGGGTGTGGCATGCTTGAGGCCATAAACCAAATGTTATCATCTTTGGAATGAGGTTGGATAGATAAGAGAACAGCTCTAAAGACTAAACCCCTCTTGATGTCAATGTTTAGAGGTGGGAAAGAGAAGGACCAGTGGAGAAGATAAAGAAGGGGCAGCCAGAGAGGATCCACCTTTTGTTTCTCCTGAGCTCTGTCTTGTTGAACAATGTGTCCTGTCACTGATGATCCCCAAAACAGACTCACTGACACAATTTCAAAGGCATCAGTGTTTTTGCAGGAAGGGCTGGGGCGCTTCCAAGGCTGATGTGCTGCCACTACTTCACTGGCTCTGTGCTGGCACCAAACTGTCTGCGCTTCAGCTCCTCGAAGCCCAGCAAGTGTTAGAGAAGGCTCTCTTTTTGGTTTTATTGCCATTTACTGGAGAATTTTTAAGAAAGGATTTAGGTAGCTCTCTTAGCCCATTATCCTCAAACTGAGTGCGTATCTTTCAGGTATATTTCAGTTTTGAATCCTGTGGTAAATATGGCTTAGATTCAAGCACAAATACCAGCCACATTGGAAAAACATAAAATTCTAAAGCATTTTTTTGTCACTGGGAGGCAACTCTTGCAATTGGGGCAGATTCTGAGCATGAAACCATGAAAACCATGGAAATGTGGTTCCGGATCCCATCCTAGCAAGAGGTAGAAAGCTCGCAGAGGGAGGCAGCACGGTGTCCTCACCCTTCCCAGCCGCTCTCAACAAGTGGCAGGTGTTGGAGAGAGGGAAGCAATTTAATTCAACCAAAACATACTGCATTGACATAACAGTATTGAAACGTGTCCTATTGCTGTGTGCAGTGCATACACATATAATTTCTTAAATAGGGACTGTTTGTCTAATTTTCCTCATTCTGGATGTCAAAATTTTCATTTTAATAGTCCAATAGGGACTATTGCCTCAAGGCATGGGATTGCTAACAAAACCCGGGAAGCTTCTTTCTTTGAAAACTTTTTAAAGAGCACTGATTAATACTGTTTCTGGCTTTTGTGTCCTTTTATTAATCCCTAGTAAATCAAAAGCTGTTCTTCTTAACCCCAGGAGTTATACAGTGTTGTTATTCTCTGTTTTCTTAGCCTGAATGTCCTTCACCTGTATATTCTTTGTTTAAGGTCTCTCTGTTGACCACATTCCCTTGGAGGTATCAGAAAACTTTTGGGTTCTCTTGAAAGTTAAAAGAAAGAAGGATTTTTGTAGTCATTCTGATTAGAAAACCCATTTTTGATTTGTAACAAGAATTAAAGATAGACTTTTCAGGCTATTTCATGAGTCAGAGTATTAAATATCTCTGAGGCAACAGTAGCTCTTGATATTTCTGTTTAATCACTTCATTTCCAATATCATGATGGCACTATTATGACCATTGCTAGCCAGAAATGGCAGGTGGGTCGAGAGAAACTGGCAATATAACCATTCAAATAGCATGTGCGTGTTCTGTATTGGAATAGACAAACATTCACTTTCCACTTCCCTTTAGTAGTTCTTATCATGATGAACAGCAGCGCAACAGTCCATCTAGGCATTGCAGCCAGACTCTTATGCCTCTCTCCTGACTCCATTTTCCACATCACACTAGGTTCAAATAACCTTAATATCTCTTAATTCACCCTATTCTATCTCTGGCCAAAAGTACCCTACTTCAGGCTTTTATTACTTTCTACCTGAACAATTGCAGCAGCTTTGCATTGGTTCTCCCTATTTCCTATCTCACCCTGTGAAATCCATGTTAAATGTTTCTACAAGAGAGCTCTTTTAAAAACCACATTTTTCTTAGGTTTCCTCAAAATGCAATGGTATGTATCTAAGTGTGGGCTTTGGACCTCCTACCTCAGCATCACTGTTTTAACGTTTATAATTTTACGTGTACATTCTGGAATTGGAATTTGCATTTATAAGAAACTTCCCAGGCAATTGATATGTACTCAAAACATTTAAGAATCACTGACCTAAATGATAAAGTCCCCAGTGTTTATAAAACCATGTGAAGACACTACTTATGCCTGCACTGTTACCGCTCACCATGAGAGGTCACCTGCGTTATCCTCGCCTCCTAAGGAATCATACATATTTCTGGAAACATGGTCATTACTGAGGAAAACGTTTCCATTTAAGTTCCATGAGGATCTGGCATTTCTGAGTCCCTTCAAATCCTTAGTAGTTTATCAAATGGTTAGAACTGGTTGGGGTGAAACACATCACTCAATTCTCATATTCTAGGCAAATGTTGTAGTAAATAGAAAATTTTTCTTTTGCATAACATTCTATAACGGAGCTCAAAATCCCTTCCCTCCAAAACTGCGCTGTCTAATAGCCACTAACTGCATGTGTGTTTGAAATGTGGCTGCTCTATGTTGAGATATGCTATACATATGTTACATTTTTGAAAAACAGGATATAAAGCATCTCAATTTTTTTTAAACAGTAACCCTATGTGTCAAAATGAGAATATTTTGGATATATTGAGTTGAATGAAATATGCCATTGAAATTATATTCATCTGTGACTTTTTACTTTGTTAATGTAACTGCTAAAAATGTAAAGTTACGTTCCTAGCTTGCACTGTATTTCTATCCACCAGCACCACTCTGGTATACATGGAAGCTGAACACAGGCATGCCCTAGGCCCAGCAATTCCGCCCCGAGGTACACATGGAATAGGTCTCACAGATGGCCAATGAAAGGCTCATCTTAACATGTTCGCAGCAGCTCTCTACTGAGTAGTAATATGCCAGAGCTGTGGTTTCTTCGTGTATCTATCATCTGCAACAGTCAGAGCCACACAATATATCTTTGTTGAATGAATGAATAACTGGATAGCTGTAGGTGACCTATCTCTATGGACTGGGGGAGAGAGGGAGACTTTAAAGGAGGGGGATTTTTGTGCTGTAAGAAAATACTCCAGCAGGTACTCTGGAGGTAGGGGATAAATACTTACTGAAAGCATAAATGGATTACCTTCCTTTCATGGCAGACAACACATTACACAGACTCCCTACTCCAAATGTCCCATTCCTTTTTTGTTCCAAATTATTTCTCACTATAAACAACATTTTTGCACATAGACTTTCACTGACTTGCCCAATGGTAAATTCCTAGGAAAAGAGAATGCACAGTTTATATTTTGGTACCTGTTTGCAGTCAGAGGCACCTTTAAGTTTAGAGCAGCTTCTGTAAAGCCCATAGGCACTGACCGGGGAAAGGAAGGCCCAGTCGCTTGGCAGCGGCTCGGCAGCGGCTCAGCAGCACGCCGGCCCTGACCGCCTTCCCCACATTCACATCCTGAGGCTGCGGGGTGAGAAGGGCAGGCGAAAAATGCACCATGGCTATGTCTGAGAAAGTCCCACGTCTCTGAACTGCCAATAAAATAATAACACCTATTTACGGAGACACTTCACAAAATGTAAATATAAGAATGAAAATTACTTAAGATACGTTGTCACAAAGTTGTATGAAACCAGCTCAGACTGAGATGAAAGAATGGGCTGGCCAGAGAACTCCCCCAGAGCTAGACAGTGTCCCACACTCCCATCCCCCCAACCCCCACTGAGCCCCTCTTTGCAGCCCAAGGGGCAAACGAAACCCATATGCCTGCACACTTGCTTCCCAGGAGGAACTTCCCTTTTGACTGTAGAGGAAATATATTGCTTCATTTTGGCACCTTACTTCCTCTGGAAAACTCCTTCAAACCTTGTGATGCTAGTGGGAGCTGTCATTCCCTTGGATACAGGGATAGATGTGTAACCCACAGTGGTGGTTGCGTCAGTAATGAACTTGAAGCCCAAGCAGGGCCAAGTAGAATCTTCCTTGAAATGTCATTTTCAGAGCACAATAGAGTGAAGGGAGAGAATGAAGATAAGATGCAGAATAATGGGGAATCAAACTCTGGGGAGAGAAAGAGAGAGGTTCCTGAGGCCCTGGGTTACAGGTGTCCTTGAGTCTAGCTTTTCTTATGTTCTTTCTGCAAATGGCATACAGCTTGCTTAATCTGTCAAAGCTTCAGTGGCTTATAAAGTCCAATGTGAATTGGTCTCCCTAGGTCCTTAGTTGACCTCATTTTGTGCAACTTGCCCTCTTACCCACTACCCTGAATCCTGTGAGATTTCTGATAGTTCCGTGAAGTCACCAAACTCATGCCCACCTTAGGGGCTTTGCCCCACCCATTCCTTCTGCTCGTTTCTCAAAATTCACCTGGGCCTTGCATGGCTACCTCTCCCCCCGCCCCCCAGAACTAGGGTCACTTCCATAAAGGTCACCCAATAAAATAGCTACCTCATCACTATATATCACATCATCTTTTCTTTTTTCCTGCAAAACCTTTAGTGTTTCCATTTGGTTCAATGCATGATAGAGGGTTCCAGGGTGGTTAAAAAGGTGTCTTGTGGTTTTAGGGAGAGGCTCAGATAAAGCCAGATACCAGGGAAATGCAGAAGGGCCCCTCGAAGGCCTCTGGGCTCCAAAGGCTTCCTAGTCATGTTCGAGGGCGAGCATTTCAAAGAGATACTAGCCCATCGCAGCCTGGGGGCCGGCCAGCCTGTGGATGTTAGTCAGGTAGCCGCCCATCTTCTTGATGAGTTTCACCTCCTCTTCCAGGAAGTGGTTCTCCAGGAAGTCACACAGATGAGGGTCTGTGCGGGCAGAACCCAGGGCATGCAGATCCAAAAGGGCCTGGTTCAGGTTCTTTTCCAAGGCCAAGGCGGTTTCCACGGCATCCTGAGTTTTACCCCACTCATCTTGGGAAGGCTTCACCAAGTCCTGGAAGAGAAGGCAGCCACGGCGCTGGTTTTGCAGCTTGAAGAGACACTCAGCGCCCTCACGCTTGTCCTCGGCCAACTCTCCGAAAAAGTGGTCCATGCCCTGTACAGCCACATCGTCAGAGTTGAAATAGAAGCCCAGAGAGAGGTAGGTGTAGGAGGCTTGCAGATGCAGGTGGGCCAGGTAAACGACAGCCTCCACTTTGGTGGAATAATTCTGACAAATTTGGGAGCTCATAGCTATTTGGCAATGAAGAATTAAGGTCAAAAAAAGAGGGCTGGCTGGGGTGGTTCCAAAGGCAGTGACTAGAAAAGAGACTGGAGTGTGGTTGGAAAGAAGGGGTGTCCCCGGGTCTGTTCCGTCCAAACCCTGTTGAAGCAAGAGACTGATTCCAGGACCACCCAGGACATTCTTGGACTGCCTACTTGAGATTGATGGCATAGCATTTATCAAAATCTGATAGTATTTATTTACGTATTGGTTAGTTTGTCATTTTCCCCATGTGACCAGGAGTCCCATTAAGGTAATTCCTGGCAGAGGGTAAGCGTTCAATGGTTAGTTATTGAATGAGAGAGCAACAATAATAATACCTCCCAAAATTTACTTTGGTTTATTATGTATCAGACACTATTCTAGACATTTTATGGATTAATGAATGAAATCTTTGCAATGGCCATATATGAGATAAATACTTTTATTATCCCCATTTTACAGATTATTAAATTACACTACAGAGATGTTGAAACCCTCACAGAAAAATCTTAGAGCATAATAAGCACTATGAGTACTTTTAATACTTCATATATTGGTCTATAGAGAGGAACATATATGAATAAACAGGAGGAAGAACCAGGGCCTGCCTGCTGCTCAAAAAACAAAGAAAGGTAGACAAAGAGAAATGGAAAGGAAATATATTAGTTTGCAAGGGCTGCCATCATAAACTACCGTAGTCTGGGTGACAACAAAAGTTTGTTTTCTCAGAGTTCTGGAGTCTCAAAATCCCAGATCAGGATGTGGCTAAGTTTGGAATCTCCTGAGGACTGTCCTCTTGGCTTGTAGATGGGCCCTCTGGCTGTGTCCTCGCAGGTCGTCTTTCACTCTGTATGGTCTGTGTCCTGATTTCCTCTTCTTATAGGACACCAGTCACACTTGGTTAGGGCCCACCCAGATGGCCTCATTTTGTCTTAATTATTTCTTTAAAGACCCTGTCTCCAAATATAGTCACATTCTGAGTCACTGAGGGTTAAGTCTTCAGCATATGAAATTGGAGGGGATGGCAGTTTAGTCTGTGACAGGGGAAATCAGAAACGTGTAAAAATGAGTAAAGGTACACGGACTCAAGGAGAGAAAGAAAGCTGGAGTGTAAACATAAGATATAAAAGAAATTCTTACAACTTAAAATATATTAATGTAGGAAACAAAGGTTAAAGGGTCCAGGAAAAAATACAGTGAAATAAATTAATGGGCTTTGTACATAATTTTTTAATACAATTGAATTTTTATAAAGTTGAATACTTGTACAAAGATATAAAATAGAATATGTAACTATTAACACAGAAAAAAATGAGGTAGATGAGGGACAAAAACACAAGAATGGATAAAAAGAAAAGAATGAAAAAGAAAAAAAGTAGTAATACGGTTCTACAACACACTGGTTTAGGCTGGATTTTGTTTTTGTTGTGTGTTGGAAGATGACCTGTCATTTTGTGAGGTTGGATAGTGGAGCATCTGATTTCTATGACTCAAGACTTTACTGATTTGAAATATTAAAGAAGGCAATGCTGATATTGGAAGTATGGAGAGAGAGTCAGGAATACTTTTCTATATGACAGCACTGATCTGTGTCATAAGAGAAAGTATATCAGCAGCATTTTATAAAGCTTCAGGGGGCTTTAAAAAGCAAAGAAAGTGAGATTGGGTTCGCTGGAATCCGACAGCAGGTTTAACAGGAGATACTGTTCTGCTACAACTCTCACCAAGGGAGTTCAACTTCAACAGTGCTAATCTTTCCACAGTGGCATAAGTTTAAATTTTGTACCCCTAAGGAAAAATTTCCAAAGTAATTCCTGTTGAACTTGCCTCCCAGAACCCCTGACGGGTGTGCGCTACCCAGGTGCCCCACGTGCCTCCCCAGGGGCGTTTGTAGCTCCATCTCCACTCATTGCAAGCTTGTTGTTTGATATTCCAGATGCCTAATTCTCTCTTCCAACATGATTAAATAAAGTTACCACTGTTCTATGAAACTTATGACATGGACTTTTAAGGCCAAATTATTCTTTATTTATTTTTATTTTAACGTCATTTTGCCTTCCTTATTCTCTGGCTTCTGGTATTGCAGATTACTATAATGCTTTGATATGTGACTCTAGGTTTTATTTATTTTAGCTATATTGAAATACATCAGTCTAACCATTTTTACTTTATGATTTTCTCATAATTTTAAGTATCTTTTTTTTCCTGGCTATGTAGGTAAAAATAGTGTAACAACTAAATAGTCCTCGAATAAAAGAATAATAATTTACTATATAATCTTTTCATTTATTTAAAAATGAGACCAGATTTCTTTTAATGCCAGTTTAGGCAAGATTTTAGATGTTGTCTACTTATTGCATATACCAGGCTTTCTTTATTTAGAGTCCCTGGGGCACCTCTATCAGGATCACTTGAAATGCTCTGAAAAATAGAGATTTCAGGGACCCATCCGTATCTACTGAACCGACATCGCAGGTGAAGCTAATGTTTATTGAATTTTGAGAACAACTGGTACATACTTTAAATACAAGAACTAAAACTGAGTCCAAATAAATTACCCTTCTCAGCTATCAAATAGAAATTTCATTTATTAGGTTGGCCAAAGAGTTTGTTTGTGTTTTTCCATAAGGTGGCTCTAGTAGTACTTAGTTGTCTTTAACTTCATTTGAAACAATTTTGTTAGACTATATTGTGACAGCTGCATTAAATATAAGAAACATCAAAACTGGTGAATTTTTGTGTAGCCATTTTATATTGAAGAGGGAGGAAAATATACAACATTTCCGGTATATTTTACTTTATTATTTCAAGACAGGTAAAAACTCAACTGAAACACAAAAAAGACTTATGCAGTTTAGGGAGAAGGTGCTGTGACTGATCAAACGTGTTAAAAGTGGTTTGCAAAGTTTCGCGTTGGAGGTTTCTTGCTGGATGATGCTCCACGGCCCAGTAGACCAACTGCAGTTGATGGAGATCAAATTGAGCTGTTAATTGAGAAGAATCAATGTTCTACCACGTGGGATATAGCTGACATACTCAAAATATCCAAATCAATAAAGTTATTGGTGAAAATGAAAAATGTGTCTTTTATTTTATGCAAAAAGCTAAATGAACCTTTTGGCTAACCCAACATCTAAAAAATTATTTTTGTCTCTTTAAAAATTTCCTTGAAATGATTTTCAACTTTACATTTATCTTCTTTTCTCATGATCATGTGGAAGGTTTATTTTTCTTTTTTGCTTTAAAGACTTTCACATGGCAATGTCAGTTTAATGAACCCAGAGTCCATTACACACACAGGCAGAAGCAGAAAAGCACTGCATACTGGGCTGTGGTCTTGGCCGCAGCAGAGGCTGGTTTGTGCAGTGCACCTGGGTGTCCCGCATGGCGGGACTCTGGTCTTTTGAAGAAAATCTGCTCCATTACCCGGGGCCTCCGAAGACCGTGTAAATGCTTTCTCCTTTCAAAACTTGATGATGTTGGGGAAGTATAATTAAAACCACAATCTTCTCCCAATTCAGAAATCTTATCCACAAGAGTAGTAGAGAAAAATTTTATTCATTCTTACTACTTATTTTTATTAACATTTTATTTTAAATTTCTTTTACTTTGAATAAGCACTCAACCAGAAGGTAATGCCAATCATAGGAAATCACTAAGAGGCTGCAAAAACAGGGAGAAATCTCGCCCTCTTTTACAGCTAAGCAGATACACCCAATTCGATATGTTTTCAAGATAAACAATAACTAGTTCTCAAGTAATAGAATCTGACAGCATTGTTCCTTGGTCACACATAGTTCATCTTAATTTAAACAGGTAATTGGCATGACCTTTGTGTTAACTAATTGGCTTCTCCTGGAGGAAAAGCAAACTTCATATCTTTACGTCAGGAGGTAGTTTTGCAATTGGGAGCCTGGCGCCCACTGCTCAGGCTCCTACCGTCCTGAAAAGACTGGAGACGGAGGCGCTATGTCCTTCCACACTCGGTGTTTACGTTTCTTATAGATGGTTCCTGAGTCCTTAGAGAAAAACCCTCCTGGATTTGGAAGATAACGAAAGGCCAACGTAATTTTCAAAAGGATATATTGCATATGTTTTTCCAAGTGAGGAAAACTTACAATTTTAAGTTATCTGAAGTAAATACTCTAAGGGAAAGGGAGGAGAAGAACAATCTTTGTCCATTTTTAACAGGAAGAATTATTATTTTTAATTGTATTTCTTCTTACAACTACCACTCTTAAATGGGAATTCTTTTAAAGACTGATGAAATTGAGGCGCCATCAGATAAAGGCTTTTTGGGTTCTGTTTGCACATGTATTGATAGCTTTAATACATACAAATTTTCTCTCTCACTTCCCCTATGACCAAAGGTCTATGTTTATAGGACAAGTGAGTATGATTATCCGCAGTCATCAGTTTGTAATGATGCACTTAGCACTCAGAGGAACAATTAAATTTATAAACTTGCTTCCTAATTCTGTCATATCACCGTACAAATAGAAGTACATGTTACCGATGTTCAGTTATAAATAGAAATGCATGTTACTGATGTTCATTTAGTTCTTGACTTTTAGTCACCAGTTTTGAACTTTAAGCTGAACCAAAGAATATGTATTCAATATTGAGAGCCACAAATGTTTGCTAGGAGACTGCTCAAAAAGAGGCACTCACACTTGCATTTTACTGGAAGGGCGCTAATTGTGGACATGCCCAGGGCCCTCCGAACTCTTTTTTTTTTTTTTTTTTTTTTGGTTATTCTTGAATTGTTTGCCTTCAAAGGAAGGGAGTTATTGGTGTAAGTGTCATTCCCAGTGTATTCCTTTGACTTTCTGCACATCACTTTCTTGCTCCATTCCAATTTCTATCTCCTGAAAAAATGAGCAGTATGAACTGGTTGGGCCAGAGGGAACTGTTCCTGATTAGCAAGTGGCAGTGGGATAAGAAGGGGCCCTATTTGAATCAAGATGTTTACTCTTAAAGGGTTG